ACCACCTCAACCGTGAGAACCTATTGGTGAGGGCAATCTTGAATTCATTGAGCTTTACAGTATCCCGAAGAAAGGCTGTATTAAACTTGTGCGATGTTGTCTGCTCCGTTGTCCAGCGCTTCTTTAGTTTCAGTTTCATTTTGGCGATTAGCAAATGGTGATCTGAGGCTATATCAGCTCCTCTCCTGGTTCTCACATCCTCCATAGTCCTTCTGAACGTTTTGTTGATACAGATATGATCAATCTGGTTTTGAGTAGTGTGATCCGGTGAAATCCATGTAGCTTTGTGTATGCGTTTGTGCGGGAATATTGTGCCACCGACGACCAGTTTGTTGAAGGCACATAGGTTTGCAAATCTCTCACCATTTTCGTTTCTTTCTCCCAGTCCATGTCGTCCCATGATGTCTTCATATCCAGTGTTGTCCATTCCAACCTTGGCATTCAGGTCTCCCATAAGAATCGTCAAATCCTTTGGTGAACATTTCTCGACGATTGACTGCAGCCTTTCGTAGAATTGATCTTTAACGTCATCATTGTAGTCGTTGGTAGGTGCATAACATTGGATGACGTTCATTGTAATGTCCTGTTTCTTTGTTTTGAAGGATGCTTTGATGATCCTGGGTCCATGAGATTCCCATCCTATTAGTGCCTTTTGTGCATTTTTGGATAGCATTAATGCAACTCCTTGTGTATGTGAAGCATTTTCCTCTTCATGACCAGAGTATAACAGCAGTTCCCCTGAAGCTAGTCTCAGTTGTCCTACTTGTTTCCAATGTGTTTCACCGATTCCAAGCACCTTGAGGTTGTATCTTTTCATTTCTGCCGCAACTTGAAATAGTCTTCCAGTCTCCCACAATGTACGAACGTTCCATGTACCTAAAAAAATGGTTGTTCTGGTTTTCAGAAGAGGCATCAGCCCCGTGACTTCCGAGGGAACTCGGCTTTCATCACGAGACGTCATAATTCTTCCTCCAACTCCCAGGGCAGAGTTAAAATGGTTTGAATTATTTTTTTCTGGTCGGCGTTTTTTTGGCAAGTTAGTTTTTGACGGAATGGGGTCGCCAACCCCATGTCCAACCCTCCTCCTTTACCCGGGCTTGGGACCGGCAGTAGCCCCGAAGGTTCTACTGGCGGAGTTACATTGATATCTAGGACGACCGTAAAATTGACCGGTAGGAGTGAACCGATCGGAATTGACCAATAATTCTCTTAGGATATTGCATGAATATCCTAACGCATTGATCGATTGCTGCTTTAATACAACTCAACAATCTGCTCACCTCTATATAATGAAAATCACAGCTGGAACTGCCGATGTTGCTAGACATTTTAGAATAAACGGAAAACATTTGTTTCTCTGTGAAAATGTTAAATTAATCTTTTGAATTATATTATTAATTACGCCTCATATCACATGATACTATTCTTCAGATTATGCATTTATACTTGGAATCATCTACACCACAGACAAATAATAATTATACACTATGTTTTTCCAAATTAAATCAATACTTTCCTCCATCCGATCCAGTAAGTTAATCTGTATGAATGTTTCTCTTTGTCTCGTTATTAAATTTGGTATATATGTATTTTTCGTTGTAAAAGTAAATATACTTTAGTTCCTTAACATGAATACATTAATACAACGTTATTTCAAATGCATATGAAGAATTTTTAAAAAGAAAGAATTTAAACCACTGTGACTAAGTGTTACCTCTTCAAAAAGAAAAAAATGAAGAGGATTATTTCAGTTGATTGTATGGCATGATCTATCGATTGATAGTGTATATTTTTCTCAAAGAGGATTGCACTAATTTGATGGTGATTCTAGTTACGCCTGCACGTAAACACGTCAACTTGATATACTTGAACTATTACGAGTTTACCTAGTCGGGAAAACGAGAGCAAGGATTGAGGATCCGGCGACACGACATGCTACTCAAATCCGATTATCCCAACCCCCATATTGAGTAAAAATAAGAAGACTTGATATGAAGTAGAACCTGTATTCTACAGGCATCCAGAAAGTAAGAGGTCCGAGTCCAGAAAAAAACCAGGATCCCGGACTAGGTATCTCGGACCGGGTCCTAGTCATAAAATGTTACGGATAATGCGTATTTATACGTTTTGGTCGAATAGGAAACAACATCGAAGTCTGTGACATTGATAGTTAAGATGACCAATAGGAAGTAACATTTGAAGTGACATTGATATCTAGGACGATCATAAAATTGACCAGTAGGAATTAACCAATAGGAATCGACCAATAATTCTATTAGGATATTGGATGATTATCTGTAATCAATTTATGCTGTATATCTAACCTAAATTCTATCAACTTAATCCAAGTGAGATTATTTGTTTTATTTTCTAAATTGTTTGGATACTACTGTTGAGAGTAGTATGAAATTAGACTGCAGATGATATGTCGTAAAAAAGAAAATAACTAGGCTGTCGATAGTTGTGTAGAATTAGGTTGAAAAAACTGTGATAAGATTTCTTTTTTTTTCTTTTAATTTTAAAGTATTGTGTTGAGTAAAATCTTTTACACCACTAATTACTATTGTACGATATGTCTTTGCGAAACTGAAACACCTCCAACAATCATGCAATCAATGTTAGGTTTCATCATATAATTTTGCTATCATAGAATTACAGTATATTTTGTTGATACTGAAATAGTCAGCAGATGACATGTGGCCGAATGAGGTGATTTAATGATCATCAGATTATATGCAAAGTTACTAATGTGTAGCGTTGATGAAGAAATCTGTTCATTCAGTAAGAGACTGGAATCAACTCTGCTTGGAACCCCTGTTAGCTACTGCATATCCCAAGCCTGGATAAAGAAGGAGGCTTGGGCTTGGCATTGATGATCTTATCCCGTAGTAAACTAACTCGCTTGAAAAAAATGCTAACAAGAAAAAATAATTCAAACCATTTAAACTTAGACCTGGGAATTGGAAGGCTTTCACTTAGAACAATTATGACCTCTCGTAATGAAAGCTGAGTTCCTTTGGAAGTCATGAAGCCGACGCCCCTTCCGACAACCAGAGCCCTTCCATGGTATGGTCTCACAAGAGATCGAATCGGTCAAGATCAAACCCTTTCTACACCTTTCTACACTCTCTTTTACCTGCACTACCAACCCTCTCGCTCCTTTGTCACTTCGCGCCACTGAAGCAAACGAATCAAGCTCGTGAGACTTTGAATGAAATGGCTCAAAACCGTTTGTAATGGCGCAGGTGCATCTATTCTCTTTTTATTCTCTCACTTTGATCTTCTGAATTCCTCATGACCGTTTCTTCTTTTTTTTTTAACTGATTCCTCTTAGGAATACATCTCGAACGGTATATCCGATCATTGATCTTTTTCATTATTACTAATACTACTACCTCTACACTACTATGGGATTTGAATGGACAATTTGATCTCTGTGCCAATATGGTATGGCAACTTGAACCGATTTACGTACGTACGAAGTTCTCCGTTGTAAGTGACTGAGGATAGATGAGATAGACTTTCTACTGCATTCTTTCAGTCAGTTATGGGGATTATGGCGTCATAATTTCAGATATGGGACATTGGGAAATCGTAAAAGTTACACAGGTTTATGCGAACCAACAAGGTGATTCGTCTCATTCTGTAAATATATGTTCTCAATAGCAGCTAGAATCGGGAGTTGTTTAAAAGATAATTCAATAAACTATACATTAAAACGTGAGGGTTATAATTAAATAATCCGATGACTAATGAAAACTTTCAAATCTTTCATATCTCTGTTGAAAAGTAATAAATTCACAAATTCTTCACCTCGTTCTAATTAACTCACTTAAACACAAACCTGATCAAGCATATTTGTCTTTCGATTAACAAAATTTTCACAACTAACTGAACTCTAATGTCTATGTATGATAAGATGTTAGTACTTGTAACTGAATAATAAATGTGATACCAGTTAGACTGTAATTGATCATTTTTTTTTACATTATTACTTATTCTCTCTTACTTTATGATGAATTGTTGCTTTGTTGTTCTTAAGATTGATGAAGTACACAGATTTCGACTGGGATTTTTAAATCTATTCGTATCTGAGCAGAAAGTTAATGATTATTTGAGGGAGAGATGGTTTCCAGCAAGATTCGATGTTTTTAAAAAATTACAACAGTTGACATTTGATATTATTGAACAGTTGCCTGAAGTATTATTGGACAAAGTGAGTATTATGAATGATATTTGAACCTTTGATTAGTAGTATACATATAATAATGTCGAATATTGATCTGTAAACTCCGTCTTGAGCCCCTCCGGATAAAGAAGGAGGCTGAGTTCCTTCGGAAGTCATGAGACCGGTGCGCCTTCTGAAAACCAGAGTCCTTCTACGGTGTGGGTAGCCGTGAAGTGATATCTGCCATCATACCCGTAATAGCCCGCGAAACCGAACTGGTTACAATCAAGTCCTTCCTACACCCCCTAACACTTTTTTATCACCCTGCGCCGCTAATGCAGACGATTCGAGTTCACGAAACGTCATTCCTGGTCCCCGGAAATTCCGTCCTAAACCATATGTTGTAACATTTGATGTCCGAGCATTGTGTCAAAAAGGATAACAAGCTTCCTTAGCTAGGACTATAGAACCTCGTATCATTGATGTATACTGCGTTTCAGAAACGCGCATATAGGATCCGAATAAAATTATCATTTCGATTTCAACTTCAGCAGATAGAAAATCATCACATTTTACGCTCCATGTGTCTGAAAGCCCTGCCACTGCTTTCCGTGACCACGCTGGTGTAAGTTTACCATTGAGTCCTATGGCAGAACTAGTTATTCTATAATGGATCCCTGTAGATAGTCGTTCGTGCGGCTGTCTGACTTAACGGGCCAGTAAGGACTCTTAAGGATAGAGAAAATCGTCGTTGGCACTTTATCGTATCTGCTGACGCTTCCATTTGCCTAGAGCTTAAGGGAGGTAAAGATCAGTTGTACAGAAAGCATTCGACGTTAGGCACTCTGATACAGTAATACAGGCCATGTGACTTCAATGCTCAAGTAGATAGACTAAATGAAAAGGCAAGACACCTGGGTAGATCTTATTTTCCCGACCGTAGCTGTTACCTTGACGTGGTGGTCGGGCTTGCCCATCGTGATGACCCAACCGAGGTATATTAACCCAAACATATGTTCCTGTAGGTTATATCATACTAGACTGGTCGATTGGAGAACGATGAGACTAAAAGCAGCTATTCAAGGTCTGAGGGCGAACTCGTACTGCTGACTGTAGAGGGATGTGACAGTAGTAAGGTGTTTCCCTCGGACAAGCAGCATATACAGCGATGCTGCCTTCTCACAAGGAAGGAAGGGTTAGAAAAGGTCAACCCTAAAAATGTCACACCTCACCTTACCTCACGGATTTCCGTCTCCGGCGGTAAAACAAGAACAGAGCTAACACTTCAAAACTTCTCATGAAAAAGCCGCACGCGACTAGCCTCAAGCAGTTGTCTTTTTGATGTTGCGGTTACGCTCCTAGGTCGTTAAAACCGACACTAATCTACCGCCCTTTTCAGGTACCTGAAGAAGTACCCTCACACGGCGTGGGCAGCCAGGAAGTGACAACCACCCTCATACCCGCAACAGCACACGAGATCAAATTGGTTACAATCAAATCCTTCCTTTGCCTCTTAACATACCACCTCTGTGCACGACTAACTCTTCTCACATTCCTTTATCATCCCGCACCACTGATGCAAACGCTTGGAGTTTACGAAACGTTACTCCTGGTCTCCTGAAACCCCGTTCTCGACTACATGTTGGAGCTTTTAATGTACGGACATTGTGTTAAATAGGACAACAGGCTTCCTTAGTTAGGACTTTAGAATCTGGCGCCATAGATGTATGCTGCGTCTCGGAAACGCGCATACAGGATCCGGGTAGCGTCATTCACCTGACCTCTCCATGTCGAGATAAAGAAGCAACTCGTTTCTTTTCGTGTATCTGGAAGCTCTGATGCTGCTTCCCGGGGTCTCGCTGGTATAGGTGTAGCATTGAGTCCTAGGGCAGAATAAGCTCCCTTAGACTGAATCCCAGTAGATAGTCGATTGTACGCTTTCTGACTAATCGGAACAGTAAGTACCGGGGACGATAGAGACACTCGCCGTTGCCTCGTCTTCTTTTCTGTCTATGGTCCCACGGACAGCAGTTCAGACGAGGTGAAAGGTCTCGAACCTCCTTCATAAGGTTAGACGCTCTGATATAGTAATATTGGCTGGTGAATTCAATGCTCAAGTAGGTAGACTGAGTCAAAAGGAAAGACACTTGGGTATATCTTATGGTGTTGCGGCTCAAGGAACACATAATGGAGACTGCCTGCTGCAACTTTGCTCAGACAACCACCTATTTCTAGCAAAATTAACGTCAGGCATAAGGAAACACATCTTTTGACTTGGCGACCCCCAAAGTCATCTCAACGCTGGACCCTACTAGATCACATTGTCATCAGCCACTGACAGAGAGGTTCGATTGAGTACTTTCGCTCGTTCTGGGGTACATGTTTAGATTCAGATCATGCTGTAGTGCGAGCGCGTATTTGTTTGAGGCTTACTGGACGTAGGAAAGACACTACCAGAAAACCTTCTAGATTTCTACTTAATGATAACAAAGCTAAGAATATATTTCAGGAGCAGCAAGAAAAAACAGTTAGGCGACGATGCTAAGCGATTCCCGTCCGGGGAGCAGGTTGGAATGATATGAAAAAGGCTGTGGGAAACGGCAGTGATATCTGCTGGAAGGTAAATCATAAGGCTAGGAAAAAGACGTGGACCTCATTAGCCTTCTAAATTGTTAAGCTTCGATAATCCTTAGTACGCCGGACTGGAGGCTCGTGACAAGTGGAAGACTCGGTAAAACCAGGCTTGTTTCAGACCTGGATGTTACTGTATAGACGACATATTCACAATACGACATGTCATAGTACACAGACACACACAGACACACACCGACAATAGTTATCTTCTTGGACCTCAAGGCGGCGTTTGACTCAGTGGATCGTGAGGTTCTGTGGCGATGTCTGTCACTGAAAAGTGTACCAATAAACCAGTTTCCATTACACAAGATCTGTACTCGAACACTACAGGTCAAGTAAGGGCATATGGCTAACTGTCATCGGAATTCTTCACTTCAAGTGGTGTCCGTTTAGGCTGCCAACTCTCCTTATTGTTGTTTAACTTTTTCGTGGATATGCTCTAAAGATGACATTATCTTCGTCCGACTTTTCGGTAGTGGACTTTTAACCAGTAGGTTCACAGGTGTACTTGGAATATGCTGATGACATAGTCCCATTTGATGAAGATACTGACAATATGTAGAGCCTTCTGACTACCCAGAGCAACTATGTAAGCACGTTTGGTATGCGGTTTTCCCCCTCGAAATGCAAAATGTTGCTTCAAGATTGGGTTTCATCGGTACCTGAACTAGTGATAGGGATTGAGGTAGTCGAGCGTGTAGACCGCTTCACTTATCTGGGGAGTCTCATCAATACTGATGACCTGGTTACTTACTTACTTACTCCTGTTGCCCCCAATGGAGCATAGGCCGCCCACCAGTTTTTTCCAACCAGCTCTGTCTTGGGCAACTGATGGACTGGTGGGTGACGAAATCTCAGCACGGATATAGAAGGCTCGATTGGCTGTTGATGGCTTAGTCGAGATTTCCGTTTGTTAACTGAAAGATGGGTTTGCTACGCAGCAGTTCATTATTTTGAGGCTGTGAAAGATAGTAAGGGTAAAGAATATTCGTAGTTTACTGGTTTTCGATCATAGGTGTCTCCGAAGGATCGCCTAACCACCGACTGCCTCTATGATCTATGTTTTGTGGTTTAGGAGTAGGTTGAAAGTACGCTAGTGGCGGCCAAACCAAAACATGGCACAAATCAATGAGGTCACTGGCATGTCGACTGAGCCATGTTAGTAGATGTAGACTACCTGTTTGAGGTCTTTGAAACGATATTAACCGATGGTTAGAGACCGTGAATGGCATGGCTGAAAAGCATTTGCAATGCCACAGGTGCATCGATTGTTTTCTCAAATTCTAGTCATCTGAATACCTGGTCACTTGGTTACGAAGTTTTACGTCGTAACTCATTGACTGACTAAATCTGTAAGCACTGTTCTCTCTGGTAAGCAATATCCACGTAGCACTCCGCTGAATAACACGTATATGCCACATTATGAGTAACATCCACCACACCTGTTCATCAATCATTACTGTGTCAAGTGATACAGTATTTTTGTCTAGTTCGAATGAAACCGACGTGTGCTTATGAATAACGAATAATTACCTCAGATAATCATGTTTTTCTGATGAAAATCACACTTGTAGAAATGAACAAGTGGTCTGAATGAACATTGTATTGCGGTGGTTTAGTTGTAATAGATAATAATTGAGAATTGTAAGATGGCGGTATTGTCATACATAGTGACTGAAGTTAGATCATTTCCTACTGTTACATCACACTGACGGTGAAAATGTGATGAGTGAGATTGGTAAGAGTAATAATATGGCGGTGTGTTACAATATCTAGTTTCTCATAGATGAAGCAGTGGGCCATTATTGTTTGAGCTACAATCTCATTCATTCGAACCATGTCATCATTGTTTAAATACATTGAGGATGAGTTTGATGAGAGAGAGTAGTTTTCTGAATATACTTGGTAGCGGTTATGTGTAACTCTGTTATTTGCCTATTTGCTCCACTATCTCATTCTAATAACAACAGACAACAATTAGGAATCGACGTTATTTGGACTTCATCCGTCGCACCTAATTAGCCACTTGTTATCTAGCTCATTTCATAATGTGGTTTATGATAGTCTATTGACACGCTCAAACCAATACGATTTATAGTAGTTGATTTCAGGTCAACTCCATTTCATTACATTGAGATTTGATTGAAATGTTGCGTATCAGTCAAAGTATTGTTTTTCGTATGAAGATGCTAATTGTTCATTGGAGAAAGCCTGTTCGGCTTATTCTTGGTAATGCGAAATGATCGTATCATAAACTTATTATCATCAATAAATTCAGACATAATAGTAGAATTTGTAAGCATATAAGTAGTCTGAATACATGTTCAGTAAGATGAATGATTAATTATTGCTAACTTAATCATTTTCGATTTTTAGGTTGGGTCAAGTGAATGGGTGTATAACGAAGCAATACTCCTAGAGTTGAATACACTTCTTGCTTTATTGATGCGTGAACAGTTGTTTGGCAAATGCTTGTGTACACAAGAAGATTTATTTGAACTCGTTCATGTTTATACTTCTGAATCATGTCCGACTGAGTTACTTTGAAAATGTTAGATTTTTTTGGCAGTTGGTTGTGAATTGAGTCTTGTAAATATCTCTACAAATTGTAACTAGATATTGGCTGTATTGTTTCAACATCACGTTTATGTTGTTTTTTGTATAGTTAACTTTTATTTCTGTGATCATTGTTACAAGTGTTCATTCGTTATAAAAGTTGAAGTATTAATAAAATATTCAGAAAATAAATAAATGCAGAATCCATACCAGTTTACAGGCATGAGTAGCACCATATAGATATTGATTTTAAGTGTCATTAACGGATATTATGATCGTTGCATTGTCTATAGTATTCTGGTTAAGAGATAGCGAGGAAGTGCTTTTTATTCACGTGTATTGCAGTTATGTAGTGCGTCAGTTTGAAATGATGAATTGTTTTAAACTGGTCAGTATGTTGCTGTATCAATGATGTAAGCGGCAATACTGAAAGTGGTGTGGAAGCATAACGATAACTATGAAAGTGGTAGTTCACAAATTATGGTAATATCATGATTTGATTACAAAGGAAACCATGGATTTAGAAATTCTGTTCAGATTTGCATAAAATTTCAGCCATTCACATAGTCCAGTTTTCAATGTAAGTCAACGAATGAATATAACAGCATATACCGTGTTTCAATAGAAATTTCAAATTCGTTGTTAAGGTAGACAACACTATTTATTACGTTGCAGCTCCAAGTAGCTAGTGGATGTGGTATACCTATGGATTTCAAGCTACCTGATGACGTGTTAATAGAATAGTGATGTCAATAATATGGTCTCATAGCAATTGTGTGTTGAGTTGTCACAATTAATTTTGGCTGAGACTGTAAATGATTAGTTTTATGCTAAAATCAAGTCAGTATACTGGTTAAATGTCATAGAATATACTTTTATGTCATGCTGGAGTAAACGTTGTTATATGTATATTGAACATTTTAAGAAGGCGTCCCACTACTGAAGTATTTGTATATCCCGTAATCTTTTTGATCGAAAATTTGAATGCGCGAAGTACTCAGTGGAATTATACCTCCCTTGAATCATTCTGGTTCCTGGTAAAAGGACGTTCGTGCATGTGAACTAAGCATAGCAAAAAATGGTGTTAGTTTTCGTAGGATGTCGCAACGCCATACACGTCTTACATAACAATGCAATTTTATATGATTTTCGAAGATGATAGATAAACTCGATGAAAATACGACGTCTTCGAGAAGAAGCGGTGAAATGAATTAGTCCGAACCATGGCATAACTTGATGAGAGCATGGAAATGCAATATTCTCAGTATAAAAGTTGCCAATCTTTTGAACACGTCCGAATGATGAATGCATTCTTTCAGACGTGACGAGGCCGAAGCCCATTCTCACAACCTGAACGACAAATGAGATACTCATTTAGAATTATCACTTATACTGGTAGACTGACACAATCATTCCTTAGCTATCAGACTATATTGAGAGCGGAGAAGCAAGAGGACCAGAAGAAATACTAACTAGAGCTCTGAAATCAGATATAAGTAACTACAAGGATGTTAAGCGCTCTGTTCAACAAGACTTGTGAGGATGAACAAGTAACAACATATTGGCAAGATGGACAGCTGGTCAATGTGCCAAGAAAGGAGACCTCTGTAGATTTTATTTCGCCAGTGGCTGTCCTAATTGCTTCCAATAGAAACACTCCTGTACGTTACTCCTAGATCCAGGTCCCAGCCAAATCAAAAGGGCAAAATTCTAGGAGAAAACGTCTCTTATTATTATAAAATGGAAATACAGAGTCTTACGGTATTTTTGTTTCTTCCAGGACTAAATTACTCCGTAGAGTATCCAGTACAATAGCTAGTAAGTGACACTAAGTCCAGCAGCCACCGCGTCCCAGCCGAAAATGTGGCGGTAGCCATATTATATCAAATTTAAACAATATATGCACAGTTCAAAAGCAAACACAAAAACTTCAATATAAGTACAAAATATAGAAAGAATAACAACATACAATGGTAAAAATCTCAAATTGGAATCAAATAAAATACCAAAAATGTCAAGAGAAAAAGTCCATCATGTCATAGCAAAAATATGTAAACATGGAGGGATTTTCCAAAAACACAAAACATTCAAAAAGAATTCTACAACCTCTGTAAAATAATAATTTACTCTTGCAGTCCGCTTTTAACCCGCAAAGTGTAGGTTCATACGCGTCCCACTCAGTCCAAGTCCAAAAGCGATAATTCTGTGAGAGAACGGTTCTATTTTTAATCAAAAAGCGAAATACAGACAATTACCAAAACAATATTACACCTTCGAGTTTCCAATTACCACCATAGGTTCCGTTGCTGGAAGAATAAGTGCTTCCAGTCAGTTGCTGCTAGAGTATCAAATCCAAATATGGCTGTAGCCATATTAAATATCAAACTTAACACATATATAGTTCAGAAGGAAACATGGAAACTTCAATATAAGTACAAGATATAGAAATAGTAAAAATATACAATGATAAAATCTCAAAATGGAATCAAATAGAGTACCAAAATATCGAACAGAAAGAGTCAGTCATATCATAACACAAATATATACATGGAGGGATTTTCCAAAAAAAAAACCTTCAAAATAGATTCTACAACCTCGGAAAGTTTGTAAACCATAGAAGATAGTCAATATAACACGGAATTTGTGTGATCTAATACACTTCTAAAACTCCGCCAGTAGAACCTTCGGGGCTACTGCTATTCGCAAGCCAGGATAAAGGAGTAGGGTTGGCGACCCCATTCCGTCAAAAACTAACTTGCCAAAAAAACGCCAACCAGAAAAAATAATTCAAACCATTTTAACTCTGCCCTGGGAGTTGGAAGAAGAATTATGACGTCGCGTGATGAAAGTCGAGTTCCGTCAGAAGTCACGGGGCTGATGCCTCTTCTGACAACCAGAGCAACCATTCTTTTAGGTACACGGAACGTTCGTACATTGTGGGAGTCTGGAAGACTATTTCAAGTTGCGGCAGAAATGAAAAGATACAACCTCGTGATGCTTGGAATCAGTGAAACACATTGGACACAGGTAGGACAACTGAGACTAGCTTCAGGGGAACTGCTGTTATACTCTGGTCATGAAGAGGAAAATGCTTCACAAACACAAGGAGTTGCACTGATGGTGTCCAAAAATGCACAAAAGGCACTGATAGGATGGGAATCTCATGGACGAAGGATCATTAAAGCATCCTTCAAAACGAAGAAAGAGGACACTACAATGAACGTTATCCAATGTTATGCACCTACCGATGACTACAGTGACGACGTTAAAGATCAATTCCACAAAAGGCTGCAGTCAATCGTCGAGAAGTGTTCACCAAAGGATTTGACGATTCTTATGGGAGACCTGAATGCCAAGGTTGGAATGGACAACACTGGATATGAAGACATCATGGGACGACATGGACTGTGGGGAAGGAACGAAAACGGTGAGAGATTTGCAAACCTATGTGCCTTCAACAAACTGGTCATCGGTGGCACAATATTCCCGCACAAACGCATTCACAAAGCTTTATGGATTTCACCGGACCACACTACTCAGAACCAAATCGACCATATCTGTATCAACAAAACGTTCAGAAGGGCGATGGAGGATATGAGAACCAAGAGAGGAGCTGACATAGCCTCAGATCACCACTTGCTGACCGCCGAAATGAAAATGAAACTAAAGAAGCACTGGATAACGGGGCAAACAACACTACAGAAGTTTAATACAGCCTTTCTTCGGGATACTGTAAAACTCAACGAATTCAAGGTAGCCTTCTCCAATAGATTCCAGGCCTTTCAGGATCTATTCACTGGAGAGAATAATTGGAAAGGGATTAAGCAGGCAATCACTTCAACATGTCACGAAGTTCTGGGTCACAAGAAGTGCTATCAAAAGGAATGAATCTCTGTTGGTAATCTTGAAAAAATTGAGGAAAGGAGGAACAAGAGTGCAGCAATCAGTGTCAGCCGAGCATGAACAGAGAAAAATGAAGGCACAAGCAGAGTATACAGAAGCGAACAGGGAAGTGAAGAAGAGCATCAGAGCTGACAAACGAAAATATGTGAATGATCTAGCAATGACGGCGGAAAATGCTGCAAGAGAAGGCAACTTGAGACAATTGTACGATACAACAAAGAAGCTAGCTGGAAACAATCATAAACCAGAACGATCAGTGAAAAGCAAGCAAGGAAGGAAAAGTAATCAGCAACACTGAAGAACAGCGAAATAGGTGGGTAGAGCACGTTAAGGAACTCCTGAATCGACCAGCTCCACTGAACCCACCCAACATCAAAGCAGCATCCAAGGACCTCCCAATTAATATTAGCGCACCTACGATTGAGGAGATCAGTATGGCCATCAGACAAATCAAGAGCGACAAAGCAGCAGGACGAGACAACATTCCAGCAGAGGCAATGAAAGCAGACGTGGTAGCAACTGCCAAAATACTTTACATTCTCTTTAACAAGATATGGGATGAGGAACAAAGATCATCAGAATGGAAATGAGAATACCCGATCAAAATACCAAGGAAAGGAGATTTCAGCAAGTGTGAGAACTACAGAGGTATCACTCTTCTCCCAGTTCCAGGCAACGTCATCAACAGGGTATTGTTAAATACAATGAAGACTCTGTAGACGCCCAACTTCGAGATCAACAGTCTGGATTTCGTAAGGATCGATTCGGAACCGACCAAATTGCAACATCACGGATCATTGTGGAACAATCAGATGAATAGAACTCACCACTTTACATCAACATCATCGACTACGAGAAAGCATTCGATAGCGTGGACTGAAAAATATCTTGGACTCCAAATAAAATATCAATCATCACCAAAATTAGAATTTTCAATACAAATGTCAACAAATATCTACTGTATGGAGCGGAAACTTGGACAACTACGAAAATCGTCATCTAAAAGATGCAAGTACTAATGAACAGTTGTCATCGCAAAATACTTTGGATTCTTTTGCCGGAAACTATCAGCAACAACCTACTGTGGG